TATATATATATAATTATATATATATATATATTATTTAGTACTATATCGACTTTAGCGATATGCGTATATAGGTACATTCTTGCTGACTGGAGCACTATGGGGATGCGTCCGTAGCAAAGTTTATCTTCGCTTGCAAATTTGTTTATTTTTTTAAAACACAATAAAATATATGAACTCAAACAAGTGGAAGCCGTGTGTTTAAATATCAGCTGGTGACCTAAATATTCTGAAACCGAAAACATCCGTTTGGCTTCTGAAAATTATATCGAGACGTTTTCTTCAAGAAGTGCTCTTCAGTTATAAGCGTTAAGGTGAATGACCAACTTTTTAGATACACTGACAGATTGTAACAGCTCCAGCCTTTAAAGTTTTTGATTGATTCAAGCTTGATACCAATACAGACCCGGTTGCAGTCCACACATACTTCTGGCATCGTTGCATGAAACACTTAGATTGGACGTGTCATGGTCGACCAAAATATATATTGCAGAATACAAACCAAATCAATATGCGTCCTTCAGACGTTAGTTCGATTCTCTATATTTCAGTTATATTTTTATTTTCGTTCTAGTGGATCATGATGTGCTTCAATATGTTGACAAGTGCGATTTTTTCACAACCCTTTAGTCCTGGATAGTCTCTACTAAACTAATACGGTGTCGTCGAATGAAGAATAGCATATCTATGGGAAAATGGGCCTTTCTTTAGGTCTTGTCAATTGATAGTGACTCGTCACCAACCAGAAACTTGCAATTTAGTGTGAAGCCAGTTCGTATAAACAAATACAAATCGATTTCCGCATAGTATTATACTATGTGCGCACAATGTACTTCAGCGAACAGAATACCCATCAGCACATAACATCCAGCTCTAACATAGAGAGACTTGCCCCACATAACATCCAGCTGTAAGATAGAAAGACTTGCCTCACACAACATCCAGCTGTAAAGATAGAGACTTACCCTACATAACATCCAGCTGTAAGATAGAGACTTGCCCCACATAACATTCAGCTGTAAGATAGAAAGACTTGCCCCACACAACATCCACCTGTAAAGATAGAGAGACTTACCCTACATAGCATCCAGCTGTAAGATGTGAGACTTACCCCAAATAACATAAAGATACTTATCCCACATAACATAAAGATACTTATACTTACCCCACATAACATACAAACTATAATATAGAGAAGAGAGACTTACTCAACATAACATCCAACTGTAAGATAGAGAGACTCGCACCACATAACATCCAAACTATAAGATAGAGAGACTGTAGGATAGAGAGAAACAAAAATAGATAAAAATAAAGCGTATCCGAAAAAATACTATGCATACAATAATACAATTTATTTCCTTATCATACTGATTCCTATACTCAGTTCTTTAAATGTACAGCAGATATAACTTTACAAGTGTGGGTAAGATACGGTCATCTTCAGGTCATGTTACCTTAAGACTACCCCAGAGGTCATTAATTTGTAGTATAATAATAATTTGACTACGTTTTTTTTCGGTTACTTGTTTGACTCTGAAATAGAGAGGTTTAGACTCTACTCCATTGCTAACTTAATGAGTTATTATTAGTCAAAATTTAGTCGACCTCCTCGATGGAGGGTCCATCACCGCCCTCGGAGTTTGGTGGAGCACCCCCGGCTCCGGGGAAACCTCCGGGCATACCTCCTGCAAGTGGATATAGAGTCGAGATTGAGTATACTGCACAACAGATTGTCGAAATATTAAAAGAACCTTTTCCAGGTGCTTTCGAACATATACAAGTACAACCCACAATAAAAAGTACATGTATAATGATATTAATAAACGCACATCTAAAAAACTACTCAATAATCTAAATATTACAAACTACATACCGGGCATGCCTCCCTCAGCACCACCCTCGGCACCGGCGTATAACTTGCTCATGATGGGGTTGCAGATACCCTCCAGCTCCTTCTGGTGGTGCTCAAACTCCTCCTTCTCCGCCGTCTGGTTGAGATCCAACCACTTAAGGATCTCCTCACACTTATCGTTAATCACCTTCTTGTCGTCCTCAGACAGCTTATCGGCCAACTTGGGGTCCTCGATGGTGTTCTTAATGTTAAAGGCATAGCTCTCTAGACCGTTCTTGGCCGCAACACGCTCACGCTGAGCCTCATCCTCGCCCTTGAACTTCTCGGCATCGTTAACCATACGATCAATATCCTCCTTAGACAGACGTCCCTTATCGTTGGTGATGGTGATCTTGTTCTCCTTACCAGTGGACTTGTCCATGGCAGATACGTTTAGGATACCATTGGCATCAATGTCGAAGGTCACCTCGATCTGAGGTACTCCTCGGGGGGCGGGGGGGATGCCTGAAAGCTCGAACTTACCAAGCAAGTTGTTGTCCTTGGTCATGGCGCGCTCACCCTCAAATACCTGGATAAGTACTCCGGGCTGGTTGTCTGCGTATGTGGAGAAGGTCTGTGTCTGCTTGGTGGGGACGGTGGTGTTACGCTTAATAAGAGCAGTCATAACACCTCCGGCGGTCTCAATACCCAGAGATAGAGGGGCAACATCCAACAGAAGCAGGTCGGAAACGTTCTCGTGCTTATCACCTGAAAGAATAGCGGCCTGTACAGCCGCACCGTAGGCTACAGCCTCGTCGGGATTGATGGATCGGTTGAGCTCTCGGCCGTTGAACCAATCAGAAAGCAGCTTCTGGATCTTGGGGATACGGGTAGATCCACCAACAAGCACAATCTCGTGGATGTTGTTCTTGTCAATCTTAGCGTCCCGCACAGCCTTTTCTACGGGGTCTAAGGTGCCACGGAATAGATCGGCACACAGCTCTTCGAAACGAGCACGGGTGATGGATGTGTAGAAATCAATACCCTCGAAAAGAGAGTCGATCTCGATGGAGGCCTGGGCGGATGAGGACAGGGTACGTTTTGCGCGCTCACAGGCGGTTCTTAGACGGCGCACGGAACGGGCGTTAGAGGAGACGTCCTTCTTGTGCTTGCGCTTGAACTCGGTTGTGAAGTAGTTGACCAATCGATTGTCGAAATCCTCACCTCCCAAGTGGGTGTCACCGGCGGTGGACTTAACCTCGAAGATACCGTCCTCGATGGTTAGGATGGATACATCAAATGTACCACCTCCTAGATCGAAGATAAGCACGTTCTGCTCATCTCCCACCTTCTTGTCCAAACCGTACGCAATGGCGGCGGCTGTGGGCTCATTGATGATACGAAGGACGTTCATGCCGCAGATAGCACCGGCATCCTTGGTAGCCTGACGCTGTGAATCGTTGAAATACGCAGGGACTGTGATGACGGCGTTCTTAATGTCGTATCCAAGGTAGGCCTCGGCGGTCTCTTTCATCTTGACCAAGATCATAGATGAGATCTCTTCGGGTGCGAAGATCTTGGTCTCTCCCTTGTACTCGACTTGGATCATGGGCTTGTTGTCCTTGTCCACAATCTTGAACGGGAAGTGCTTGGCATCCGCGGATACGGATGGGTCGTTAAATCGACGACCGATTAGACGCTTGGCGTCGAATACTGTGTTGTGAGGGTTCATGGCAACCTGTGTGCGGAGTGACAGTGAGGAGACATGAGTACGTTGCAATACTGGGAACTGAACTACACAAGTTCAATTGATATATTTCAGTATTAGGACTGTACGACTACGGTGTCAAACAGAACTCGATTGCACATCTAAGTTGGATTACTTCCCTAATGACAGTACTTGACACAAAATCCTATCACTACGTTTAAAGTGTTCTTCAAATCAGCTCGACTATTGCATCGCTAAATATAATGTGACACACGAACTGGAGACTAGTAAACGGCAACTAGACATTTGATTCGATCCTCTTTAATATAAACAGCACATAGAACACAACAGTACAATCACATACACAATATCGAAACACGAAAGAGTGCTAAACCTATATAAACTACCCTACAAGCAATCATACTGAAAAATCTTTCAAACTGTTCACGTAGAACAGGCACACACGGACCTGGTTCTTGGCGGCATCTCCCATTAGACGCTCAGTGTCTGTGAAGGCAATGAATGAGGGGGTTGTGCGGTTACCCTGGTCGTTGGCAATAATCTCGACCTTTCCATGTTGGAACACACCCACACAGGAGTAGGTGGTTCCCTGTTATAAGTAGCCCAATAAAGAAGGTGTTCATATATTAATAATGATATTAATGCGGTTTGTGTATGCAAGACTATAAAAGTCAACCACATACTGAAAAGTTTGCCAACCCGTCCAGATGCATCGATGCACCGACTGATGCACCGACTGACGCACCGACCGACTGACGCATCACAATTTGAAAAGCCAAAAAAGCCCTTCTAAACAACAAACAGCCCGGAGTGCAAGTAATTAGCATCGATCCGTCATCCAGCAGCACATACCAAATCAATTCCTACTGATGAAGCTACGCTCATTGTGTATATATTCGACGGTCCTAAGTAAATAAGTGTCTATCTAAGGTTAACTAACCCCTGCATAGCTGTTATATATTGCGCTTGTTTGTCGTCTGTGCATTCTTTGTGTTTTGTGTTTTCTCCGCATTCGGCTCAAACAGCATGCCAAAGTGAACTCCCAAGAAGACGTAACCTTACGTAAACTGTCGTACAGCGTTTCACGCTGCGCCCTATACAAATATTCCGTGATACTGACTAGAAAACGTACATACATTTTTCCGCTTTCCCGAATTTCTTTGCAAAGTCCCGATTTTGATTGGCTGAGAGTCGACGCGTGGCTCCAAAAAATTAACGCCGCTGAACAACACGAATAGAAAATACGGTATCAAGAACATTGGAACAAAAATAAAAGTTCCGGAACTTTCAGGATTCGATGAAAATATATGACGAAATAAGCAATACGCTTCTACACGAATCAAACACCAACAACATGTATGACGAAATAAGTATGACGCATATGTACACATTCTATGACTACTATGTATCACGGTATCGCTAAGTGCAAGTAGAAGAGAAGATAAGCATCAAAAGAACATCAACAGAACAGAAGGGAAATAAATACATACAAACCCAAGTCTCGCCCCCAGAAATAATAAAATTCATGTGTTTAAAATAAAGCTCCTCGACAGACACTCGTGAGATTCCCATCATAACTATACGATATATATGTATGTCCAAGTGTGTAACTATATAGATACTGCATACGAGAACTTGAACATCGCGGCCTTCATAGTATTTAGTTAATACTTTATCGATTTTTTTCTGTCGATCTAATTTATACGCCATCGGTCTTTTGTTCTCAGCACTCGGACAAAACAGCTATCTCCGTGTATTTACTTATTTATTTATGTGTATATATTTATATATATATATTTATAAATTTATTTCTGTTAATTTACATATATATGTATATATATATATGTGTGTGTGTATGTGTGTGTGTTTGTGTTTGTCTGGTTGTATGTACGCATGTGTATATATATATATATATATATATAAACGTACATTTATATACATATATATGTATATACATATACATGTATATATGTATATATATATATATTTATATATAAACGTACATGTATATATGTGTATATATATATGTGTGTGTGTGTGTGTGTGTTGTGTATGTTTCTGTGCGTGTGTGTGTGTGTGTGTACATACGTGTGTGTGTGTGTGT